TTCATGACTGCAAATTCTGGTAATTGGTGGTTTCTCACTGTTCCCTATTTTCAGCTAGGCAAACTTCACTTTGCTCATTTTTTCTCTTAATTCTAGCTGGGTCAGGTGAGCAGTTTGATTACTTCTGGATCACGGATTCGTGCCCTCACACAGTGAGAGCCATCAGCCAACCCTCCATTTGAGGTGTTCAGCCTTGCTAGCTCAATTGCTGATGCCCTTCGGATATGAATGTGGACTGTGAACTGCGCTGCTCCCATACGTAGAGCTTTCATTTCCAGCTTGAGCAAAACAAATAATGTGGAGAGAGTCATCTAATTGTGTCGAATCTTTGCTCCATGTTTTTTTTTCCGTTGAGATCTCTTCATGGGTTTTTAGGGGGTCTTTATGGGTTTATTGATACACATGGTTGGGAAACCGTGCTTTCGAGTTGGTGGGGGCCTGGTGGGGATTCATTGGGCCTCACAGGCCACTGTCTTGGGAGTTGGTAATTTTTGCTTCATCTATCGTAGCATTATCCATGAGCAGCCCATGGTTTGATATTAAAACAAGGCATTAGATATACATGTATTAGTGTTTCTCGGGTTCAGTGCAGCTTGCTGCTTTGTTGAGATTTGTTAGTACAATTAGAAAACTTAAGTTTGGGTCTGCACCACGATTTCTAAAAGGTAAGGAAAGCACTTGCTTGACTGGTTTAGTGCAGCTTGCCATTCTTTTAGATTTGTTAGTTCAGTTATAGAACTTCAGTTTGGGTCTGCAACACAATTTATAATAATCCAATGGAGGTTTGACTTAGTTTTATCATTTTATGTTGCTTCATCGGCATTGAGTTCCAATATATATTTGATGTGGGCTGCTTCATAGCATCACTGAGAGGAGATTTCAATGCAGAAAGAGTTGTCTTCATTCGCCCGTCAGTTTGTATTACCAATTTATCATAATACGATTTGCTTGCATCTCTGAATTGTATGCACACCCAGATAAGGATTGTTGGTGTTATTTTGGAGAAAATAGATTTAGAAGATATCAATTAGATACTCCCTCCGTCCGAAAATACTTGTCGGAGGAATGGATGTATCTAGACGTATTTTAATTTTAGATACATCCACTTTTATGCATTTCTCCGACGAGTATTTCCGGACGGAGGGAGTAATATTTTGTCTTTCCATGCACATGTTTTCCATGTGCATACTATTGTTGAATGGGATTTTTTTTCTACGCATGATATATACTGCTTTTCGGTTTCATACTCAATATCTATAAGCCACTCGGAATTACAGGAGTACCTCTAAACAAATGGTCATTTTAAAGGTTAAACTACTGCATACTGTAATGTCAAGATCTTACTTGTCCATCATGTACTGAACTTAGAAACCGGAAAGTCAAAAAATGGAAATTAATGCTATTGACCTGAATTAGACCATTTTGTTGAAGATTCAAAGAATCTAGACTAGCCATCACCGATGAAAGCTCTCCTCTTTGCTCGTCGACATGAGGAGAACGGGTGCCCGGGACGACAATAACGACGAGCCAAAGGAGATACCGTGGATTCGTTGTCCGCTACTGATCCTTTAGTGCCATGCTCACACTGCATGTGAAAATCACAACTTTGATTTGCCATGTCTATCTGTAAGGCTAATCTTCTCTCGCCGCCATCCTTTCTGACTCTAATACTTTGTTATACTCACAGGTGAAATGTTTGAGAAGCAGTCTTGCCATGAACTAACTGCTTTTCTTTCTCTTGATAGTACTTTCAGGTGGAGTACACAGAAGACAACCTCACCCTTGTAATCAAGCTTGGAGACGACACCGTGAGCTGTGACACTCGCTTCATGCTTCGAACTGACAAGAGGGCCACCCATGAAGACGAACTGGTCATGTTTCGCCACCACGCCAACATCCAGGAAGGAGACATCTGCACCTTCCATTTCAAGCGCAAGGAAAGGTGCTGCCTCTCCCTCATCATCCATCGTCTCTAGATGTAACGCCCTCAGTAGCACCTACCGCCTATCGTCTTTAGCTTATCTCTAACACTTAATAATCCTGCATTGTGGCCTGATGAAATTTGCTTTTCTTTTGGAGACCGCTTGTTTTCTGGAGCATCTTAGACTTTGATTTCAATTCAATGTTGTGCTCTATCATCCATCTTATAAGAGGATCACCTATCTGATAATATGAACCTATTACCTTGATATGCTTGCTATGCCTGATCATTGAATACTTTTCTGCCAAGCTTGTCTTAACTCTATTCATATTTTAACAACTGAGCTAATCTGGCACGCATATGCATGCTCACAACTGCGCCACCAAGGCAGGTGCGCAAAGGACCGCATAGGAGGCGCGCCCAGGGCGCGCCCCAGCAACTAGTGCTAATCAAAGTTGTATTCATCATTGAGCGAGCATTGTTGCAGCTATGAGCTCTCACACTATGTACAGTGACGAAGAAGCATCGTGTAGTGCACTGAGCATCAGTGTCCTTTTTCCTGGTGCCTCCTACTCCCTAATGCCTTTAGTTTCACATCTCCTTCTCTTTCTATCCCATCTCGTTGTGCTACTATGTCTTTTGTACAGATGGTGCAGTATATATGCATATGCGCATACGTGGGAGTCGGGTTGGTTGGTTGGTATCTACTATTATTTGTTATCTATTTAATGCCCTTACTTGATAAAGTAGTACTTGATGTACCTATGATAAGAGTGACTTTTGAAGCTTCTCAAATGGTTTGATATGTTATCCACATACTACCGGTTGTTGGAATGCATCAATATGTAGAAGAAAATATGGTGTGTCTCTTTTATAATCTATTACACACAGTAGTTCATGGTAGCTCTATTCTTATAGCATAGTAATGAATAAGTAATCCACAGGTTTGGATCCTTTAAGAGACCGATGGTGCATTTCTAAGATAAGTTTCGCTTGTCCATTGCCTACACACATGTTGACATTAAATTAAATCTAAAATGTTTGATGGTCAAGACTTGTGTAAATTTCATATATACTACGTATACTTATGTTTACATAAATTTTCATACAATGTATATTTTGTTGGAAGAAAACCCAAAAAAATCATGGTCTATGTTGGTACTGGTCATGAAAGGACTGGTCCTTGAGCGTATGAAGACCGTTCACTCGCCTGGAAAAACAAAAAGGCAACAAATGTCGATGAGTAAAAACACCACAAAAAATGATCGTCTCTTTCTAGTAGAAATTTAAAGTCGTTGTCCATGTTGATTCAGCGCAATTAGAGGTTTGCAAGAGTTTCTGTATTCAAATATGTATTGTATGTGATGAAAAAGTTTGAAAACTTCAACCATATATGAATCCAATATTTGATTTCGGTGATCGGACAGAATTTCTGTATTCTGTATTCGGTGATATGTTCTACTAAATGTATCTTTACCTAATAATAAAGGACGGAGGCTTTCATAATTCTCCATCTGTCATCCCTTTATATCCGTCGATTTTGTGTCAAACATAAAGATAGACGGTTGAGATTTAAAGGTAGATCTACATTGTCCTTGCCCCGTGAGACCTGCCAGCCGCATGGGCCTCAGCCCACCCACGTGGTGGCCCAGGTAAACTATACAGTCCCGAGAGCAAAAAATATGGGCTAGTTGCGATCTGAACTCCCGACCTAGGGTTCAATCGTAGAGAGCAAATCCAACTAGACTAGCTCCTGGTTGTGTTGATAAAAGGCTCATACGTTTTATATTATCCCACCTCGCTCCCTTCCACAAAGTACAATCAACTTATATACCTTTACCACTTGATATCAATATAAGCGGCCTAGAAAATCTGTAAGGAATCGATTCGTCTCTCCATAGGGAGAAAATATGTGGGATTAATATGGGAGAGAATTGCTGAGGGAAAGAAAAAGGCCGGGAGACGGAGAAATTGTGGGATTCAAAGAGAGAGAGAGAGAGAGATCAGAATTTAGGAAAGGGAAACCACCCAACCGAGTCCAATTATGTATGTGTCGGGATTGGTAAGTCTCAGAAATCACGTGCCAAGTTGGAGTTCCCAAATTGGATTGGATTTGGTATTGTTTGTGTGTCCTCCACGGAGAGGTATTAGAGTCTTTGGAAAAGCTGAAAAAGCGATGTCAGGCCAATCATCAAAACTAAACAAATAAAGATTCAACTCAGTTGAAAAAAAATACAAACACAGGAGGAAGAAATATGCAAATATGGAGCTAGCACAAAAACAAAAAACAAAAAAGTGTGCACGAGAAAGTTAAAAATACACAAATATGCAGCCAGAGCAAAAGAAAGCTAGAGTACCGCAAATTGCAGCTAACCGTGAATTGAACCGCAACACACCATGCAAAAGAATCAATTGAGATGGACAACCCTACATATGTTGCAACAGAATAGGAAGTTAGTGCATCTATATGACATTAACATACACACAATAGAAGCATATTTGTATGGACAGTCCACAAAGTATATGACATTTTTATTATCATATGTAATAACTCTTATGTGTTTGTTGTCACTCATTTTATTTTGAGTATTATTGAGATAGATGTGTATGTTAAATTTTTTCCGTTGCGACGCACGGGCTTATTTCCTAGTACTACATAACTTTGGTCTCATTCTTCTATCGTCATTGAGGGGGACACCCTTTTATCTTCTTGGGCTCATAGAGAAAAAGGAGAACCAAGAAAAGCTTATCTTTTTTTAACAAAAGAAAACCTTATCTAGATAAATCACTCGATTTTTTTACATGCCTCCCTCTATTTTGTTTCATTGTAAACCTTTCAAATCAGATTTTTTTTTGTATTTTTAGAATCTTCAAATCAGATTTTGTTAGAACACCTTTTCAAATTCAAAGGAAAAAAACACATTCGTCTGCAAGCCCAGCGCCCCAGCCCAGCCCAGCCCGTTGACATATGCCACCAGGACCAGACACCACACCAACGCAAACCCTCACCACTCTCAAACAACAGACCGGACCGGCGGCGGTCGTTCCCCATTCCCTCGCCGCCGCCCGCCGCGCCGCCATGCTCCGCCTCCGCAGCTCCATCCTCACCCACCTCCTCTCATCTCCAGCCACCTCTCCGGTATCCCCTCTCCACCGCCTCCTCTCAGCCGCAGCGCCAGCCATCTCCACCCCGACCACCGGGTTCGCCGTGGAGGACTACCTCGTCGGCACCTGCGGCCTCACCCGACCCCAAGCCCTCAAGGCCTCCGCCAAGCTCTCCCACCTCAAGTCCCCCGCCAATGCCGACGCCGTCCTCGCCTTCCTCGCCGGCCTCGGCCTCTCCGCCGCCGACGTCGCCACCGCCGTCGCCAGGGACCCGCAGCTGCTCTGCACCGGCGTGGAGAGAACACTGGCGCCCGTCGTCGCGGGGCTCTCCGGCCTCGGCGTACCACGTTCTGAGATCGCGCGCCTCGTCTCGGTTAAAGCCAGCCTCTTCCGGCGTAGATCCATCGTCTCCAACGTCGCTCTCCTGCAAGAGAGTGGGCTAGGTGTTTGTGATATTGCCAAGCTGTGCCTCACTAGGCCACGGCTGCTCAGCAGCAACCTAGAGCGCGTCCAGGCGGCGTTGGCGTCCGCCGAAGCACTCGGTGTACCCCGTGGATCCGGGATGTTCAGGTATGCGATAGAAGCTGTTGCATCCTTCACCGAGGAGAAGATCGCTGCCAGAGGGGACTACTTGAAGAAGACATTCAGGTGGTCGGATGCCGACGTGAGCATTGCTGTGTGTAAGGCTCCGTATTTGATCGTAAAATCAAAGGAATCACTGCAGTGCAGGTCTGAATTCCTCATCTCTGAGGTGGGGTTGGAACCGGCCTACCTCACTCAACGTCCGGCAATGGTCTGTTACAGCCTAGAGGGCCGGATGAGACCCCGGTACCACGTTGTAAAGTTTCTCAAGGAAAATGGATTGCTCAAGCGCGACCCGAGCTACTATACTGTTTTCAAGGAGAGCGAGAAGTATTTCATGGATAAGTTCATATGCCCTCACAAGGAGGCTGCACCACACCTTGCAGAAGATTATGCTGCCGCTTGTGGAGGGGAAGTGCCCGCTAGATTCAGATTTACATGAACCAACAACGGGCTGTGAGAAGCGACAATGCTGGTAATTTCTGATTCAGTGTTATTTGCCAAACTGAATGTTTGTTGTCTGATGCATGTTATTTAGTATTGGTAATCCTGGGTGAAACTGGTAATTTGATTATGTCTCACTGAATGATGGTTACATCATTCACTAGAGAAGAAAGTATAGCACTGCAGTGAACTTGTCCATCCTCATTCGCATAATATTGACACACATAGTGGAACTAAGAGTGTGGAGATCAGGGCATTCTACAAATGCTTTCAACTATCGATAAAGCATATATCTGCACGCTCTATCTCTATGTTCTCAATGGTCATTGCAGTTTTCAATGCAATCCTCAATCTATCTTTCCATCGAAAAAGATTCTTATTTTGGCCATGATGATACGAAGTCTCAAAATTTTCCTTTGGTCATCCAGTTTTGACCTAGTTTTTTGGTTGCTTCCTCTAGTTCTTCTAAGCTGAAACTCTTCGTTCTTCCTGCAGTAGCTTTGTTTATGAGATATTGCCTGTTTGAGAAAGCTAGTCATTGTTTACTAGTAGTAGTTTGTATCAGTTTTCCTAGTTTTTTCCTCCGTATTTTTTGGATGCCCTACTGGCTGATACTTATTCTAGGGGCATATGAGCTCAAAATTGAATAATGCTATAATAGTGTTTCTGTTATTGATAGCTGTTGCTGTTCTGAAAGTACCTGGCAGTTTCATGGTTATTTCAGAGTTTTGGCTTAGCTTTTGAAAGCCTTATATTACTTAAGCTTTTTCAAGCACAGAAAGATAGGTCATGTTGTTTCCTTCAAATTATTTATTATTATGTAAATGTATTATGTATCTGGAGGACTATTTTGACTAAAATTCGAGCCACTGGGTCCATTTTATGCCACACGAGTTAAGCTCCATGTATCCGCACGTACGGTGTAAACTTGGACTGTTGGAGTCATCAGGTTGATGTTGTAGTTAACACTTTAGTTATTTTTTTCCTCTTTATTTCCTTCAAGGATCACTGATGGCAGTGCGCTTAGTTACTTCCATTTTTCTACCATCAACCTGTTCGTGGCCCTCTTGTTGGTGGAAGTGCTGAATCAAAGGATGTAAATAAATGGCTCGATTAAATGATTAATGGTATGAATCTTCGCCAGTCAAGACCAGAGAGGTGATCCTCACAAGTTAGTTATTTCGTTGCTGCTGATACTATGTCAGCACTATGGGAAACTGCGTGTGCCTCTTGGGTCTAACCCATCACAAGAGGTGCTTCCTTTGTTTCATGCTTTATTTTGTTGCAGTTATAGTTGGACTTACATTGCCATTATTTTGTGTGCATGTTCCCTTTTCCATAATTATTAATTTGGAATTTTCATTAGAAGCAAGATGTCCATAATGCACGTTCTACTTAATCGAACCTTGTTCTGTCATACTGTGCATAGGACTACCATTTCTGAATGGTTATGATACATGCATTAGACTTGCTTTTTTTATGATTCTGTATGGCATTATTGTCTGGCTATATCGTAGGTTGTGATTGCACATTTCCCACTCCGTTGTTCTGTACCTAATACTACTGGCTACTGGCCGTCATGTGGTTTTTTATGTAGGCTACTGTTTGGGATGGTTCCTTTCAAGGACCAATATATTACTGAGTTGGCTTTTTATATCCAGTTGTATCTCAAATTATAGATTGGTGTTACGATCTAGATTTAGCTGAATGTCTTGACTCGTCTTTTAGAAATATATCAGGTGGAACCTTGCAAACTTCATATTTTTTTTGTTCTTCTATTGGTTAAAATAAACTAGACCATACATTTGTTAGCACCATTGATAATTTGAGTATTTCTTTAACCTTTGCATATCAAATTCTTGTTTGAGTTATTGGTAATAAGATGCAGACTGTCTAGAGATTGCAAATAACTAAGCTCT